GGGCTACGCTCATTTTGTCAAAATATTTGCAACAACCAAAGATAGATAGAAAAAATCAGCCATGCCCACACAAATTCACAAGTGATTAAATTCTCGTTTTGTCCACTTTTTGGAAGTTTTATGCTCATTAATCATAAGGCAGACAAGACAGAATATTTAAAACTGTTTCGTACATAACTCAAATGAAGACATATTATCCGCCTGGTGGACGCAACAATCTGGTGGATTAATTTTTCCTTGAAAATACTATCAATACAGGCATCAAATGAAAGGGCTCGAAGGGGAGAATGCGAAAAGCTGAGAGCGTTAATTCCAAAATCAATATAGTGCACGTCACGAAGTGATAGATTAAATTTTCCTAAGAATATCTTTTATCGAAGTGAAAGGTGACAGATAAATTTTGACTTTTTTATGATAATAACTAAAAGCATGGAGCGCCAAAGATTTTAATGGTGAAGGGTATGAGAGTTTCGGCCCCAGCCTAATATAACTCTGTTACTTGTTGAAACTCTTATAGGCACGATAGGACTATGTTTAAAATTTTCTTTCCTGAACACCTGTAACACGGAGCGAATGTTCGGAAAATCAACTTTTGCGATCACCTAGCCTCTAGCTTCGCCCCTAATCATCGTTTCATATGATTTTGGAATATATTGAGAAATGCTAGACTCAAGGACCACAAGATGAGAGAAACGAAAGTAGTTGTTTCTTTTTAATGTAGATTGGATAGATCTTTCAAAAGAAGGGTTTTTGTCAAAGTCTATTAAGGAACCAAACAATATGCACACACATAAACAGCGACATTCTCGGTTAATATTTAATAAGTTTCTTCTGTTTTTTTCTTTTATGGCCCATCCTCTCTTACCGAGCCACATGTACGTTAACTTGATAACTAAACTTTGCCTTTGATCTAAGTCTAAACGAAGAAGAAACGAGTTTCTACATTTCAAGCCTTTTGCATCAAATCAAGCAATTGGGCTGAATAACGATAACCATTTTAGAGGTAGTAAAGGAAACAATTTCAAGGAGATTAGGATATTGACCTAAAATATGTGTTATACAGTAATCCCAGCAATTTATTGCAAAGTTACAAAGTTTTTGAATAACAACCAACGTATATTGTTGAAGTTTTTTTTTTAAATTGTTGATTCAGTAGTGACCAAAAACCGATATTTTAGCTATAAGTACGCACTTTATAATAAAATAAATAAATAGATAAACAGGTTAAGGGGGAAAGTTACTATAAATTGTTTAGGTATGTCTTTTATTTCTTTATATGCATAAAAAAAGTGTTTTGAAATAGATAGGAGCAAAAAAATGCATCACGAGATAGAAATCACTTCCTTGAAATTTCGAATCCTCTTCAGTGGCTTACAAGCTAATGTTGTTGGTTTTTAATCTCTCTGACACGCCAGCAGATGTGATTGAAAAATACTTACGTTCATTTAAAATCGTGTCCAAGCAAAAAATATTCTCATCGACACAATAGATTAGATCGACAAGAGGTTGGGAGAGGAACGAGCGAGTGAAAGTGCTTTTGGTAAGAAATGAAAAGTTTGAAGGTCAGTGCAAATTCTACTTTCGAATTTTTTCACATTTTTTCGCGTTTCTCTCGATCATTTCACTCCTAGCAAGGGGTAGAACGGGTGAGTCTATCTTCAACAGTTGCAGCAAAAGACGCACTTTTGTGGATATCCTTTTTGAAAGAGAAAGAAGGGAAGTAATATGTGAACGTGGGAGGACGTTTCAAAGAAACATATTTACGACATAAGCAAAAATTTTGAAGGCGTTCTTCCCGAAATACGATTTTCCAAAACTGAAGACACAAGCAACTCTGCAATTCTCAGCCTTCTTTCGGTCAATTTTTCCCAATATCTTTAAAACAACATTCTTTAGCCGAACGTGAAGAGTATTTTTCATAAGTCAGGTTAATAACTTTTTATTAAAAAAATATCCATTTTTTTTTTAAGCAAAAATTGAAATTTTTGATTCAAATATTTGTCAATCATACAAAAATGAATTTATTTAAAATCTCATACGTTTTCTGTCGATCATATTACTTTTTTTTTTTGTAGCTTCATATTTGTGCTAAAAAACGTGTCGGCCACAGAATTCCTTAAATTAAAAATGCTACGGTTTTGCTTCATTTTAATTATTTCCATAGTTCAAAAAGAATGAATCCATACAGTATAGTACTATGTTAAATCACTATTTGTACCAATTTTCATCATTAAAGACTTATAATTAAAACCTTCTCGGTGTATAATTATCACAAAAACATCCTACTCCGAATACGCTGTCATATGAAAATAATTAACGCTATAATGGAGCACGGCCCACTATCCCACCCAACAGTTATTCATATAACGATTTTCTAAAGTAAGGCATTGTATGAGAAGTGGAAGAAACGTTGTCCGATGGCAACCACTTTCAAGAGCGTTCGTTCTTGGACCGAAACACTTTATTAAAATACCTCAAAAATTACAGCCTATAGGTTGATCAGAAGAAAACAACATAGATGGACGGACAGAGGGACAGACAAGCTTAAATTAATTCAGAAAATCATTCTGAATCGATCGGTTTAATAAAAACTGGGCCTACCTCAAGTTTCTCCCGGTGTTGCATATGTGCTCACAAACTTAATACATCTTTTTACCGCAAGTGGTGTACGATGTAGACAATTGCAACTGTTAATATTTCCCGACAAAGGCTATCAACACGTGGCAGCAAGGTTTAATTTTTTTGTACTTTGGAGTGAAAACAAGTGAAGAATAATAGATTACTTTACAAGACGATGAATTTGACATATGTTGTTGGTTCACATGTTGTGGGCCGGAGAATTAAACTTTTAGATGGCAAGAAGGTATACTGTTTAATATTGTGCGGCGAATGGAAGGTGAAAAATGCAAAATGAAAATTAGGCGAACTCTAATTTAAAAATTTTTTTTTATATTCCATTTTTTGGCTGCGTTATCACGCAAGCCACTGTTGGATTAACGAAGTTTTAACTTTAATATCAAATTCGTACATGTACGTACTTATACACTTATAAACTGAATTGCAAACGGCTTATAATAAAATGTCACAGAGGCCCCAATAAATTATCAAGTTCTCGCTCACATCCTTCTGTTTGAATAACTAAACTAAAGCGTAAAGGAGGGCAAAGACTAGTATAAGTAACCAAGAGGTAAGAAAGCAAGCAAGCAAGCAAGCAAGCAAGCAAGCAAGTAAGTAAGTTTTAAAGGAGAAGAACCAGCAGCTTTGCTATAGTAGTTAAAGTTAAAAAGTTAAAGAGAAATTGAAAATGATGTTCCAACAACATTAACAAACAACCGGAATCCTTAGTTAGGTATATAAATTTTTGTATGATTTTAGAAATTAAAAAAAAAAAAAAAAAAAAATGAAAAATGAAAAATAAAAAAGGAAAAAGAACATTTTTATTTATATGCTTAACTTCAAGTGAATATATTCATTATTCATTACTCATTATAGTAAAAGATGAGCGAAAATTTTTGCAGATCAGTAATTATTTCGCTTTGAAATTTTTGCATAAATGTGTTATGTGAATAAGGTATGCTAGCTTTGACATAACTCTTCACTACGCATAAATTCCGTAATTTTCGCATATATTTTGTTATAGTTGTCGTTGCTTCTCTTCATAAAGTTTTTTTTTTTCTCTCTTTTTTTTTTGTTGGTAAATTCTAAGAAGGCGACTTATTTTGAAAAGTTTCGTAGTAGATGTGCTTTTAAGCTTGAATACGATTTTGTGCATATATTCACTCAATCCAATTTCTGCTCCAATCGCCACCGTCGATATACGATATACTTATATACATATATATCTATATATGAATGCATATAGCCGACTAAATACATTTATAGGGTCCGTACATACAATATGTATATAACGACTGGTGCGGCCTTCTTTGATAATGACAATAGCTGCACGCGCCCAATTTACATTTATGTCTACCGAAAACCAATGTTAAGCAACCGAGAGTATCTTGAGCTAAAGAAAAATAAAAAAAAAAATATATATATATATATATGTATATATATATATAAAAATAATAAAATCGAACCAATATGCATACACATATAAATGTATTCACGTATGTATGACGGTATGTATAAGTGCTTAAGCCGCCACAAAATTTTGTTACGTTATGGTAAAGCATTTTGTTATGCTGCCGTTATTCAAGCAGGCTCCCAAGTCATAAAGTAAGACAGAACAACAATCGGAATCCCAGCAGTGGTGGTAGTAGTAAGTAGCTCCGCAAATAGCAGTTTAACTGGTTGCTTGGTGACAGCAGAATTTCGTATACCGAGGCTATGTCGTTTTTATTTTATTTAGAATTTTCCTTCACTTTCAATATTTAAGGGCTAAACTGTCAATATGTCGGCCTTAAATGCATATATTTAGCGATCCTATAAATTGTTTAAGCGATCGTTAGTTGGCACGGTTTCGTAGCGTACAACAATAAAGGAGAACGAAAACAACAACAGTAACAAGGACAACAACAATAACAACAAAAGCAAGAACAGCATCGACAGCACCCAACACATATTCTGAGACATATTCATATAATTTATTTTTAAAACAGATGAGCAAACTAATTTTAAACTTCAAATGGTTTAGCTCGATTTGCTTCGCCTTGCCTTGCTTTGCCAAAGGAAGCCCAACTTATATGTGACATTAAGCGTTAACAACGTTGAAACTATGAAACCGTTAGTTTCGTGTTGTTTGGCTTTCTTTTTTTTATTTTTTCATTTTTTTATTTTTTTTCGTTATCTAGAAATCATAGCAGTTTCTTTGAAAAAATTGATTATCTCCTTGCTGTCTGGTTCTTTCAATAACACACCGCCGCCGCTTAAAACAAAAGCAATAAATTTGAATAAAAAAAAAAAACAAAAAAAAAAAAAAAAATTTAAATAAAATCAATAGCAAATATTTGTTTTCCTTTTTCTTTCTGCTCTTCTTTTTTTTTTTGCTTTCGTAGTTCGAAAAAGTACAATCCACAAATCACTCGCACACCGGAATATCCCTCAACTTCGTCTGGCGATTTACACGAACATTCGTTAATTACCGACGCTCGTTTAGCTACGAATTTGCATGACGGCAATAGCGACATTGCCTATCAATTTCGTCATGGCAGCGAACATTCCTCCTCTAGCCTACATTCACCGGCTATACATCATACGACAGCCTCAACGCCCACCAATAACAATACCAATAGTTACGATAATGAAACTCATTTATCGGAAACGGGTGGTTCTTTGTCTGGACATTGTCACAATTCGATGATGGTTGGTTCATATATGACCTCAACTCCCCCACCCCCTACACCGTCATCAATAACAACAAATCAACACATGTTAGGGACAAATATGCCAACAGCACCACCCGCCGCTATGCTTAATAAATATTTGTCAACGCATGCCACCATGATGCCAGTAGCCATGTCATCGGATACCGAGGATTATCCAGCCGGTGTAGTCGACGCTTCTATGTGGGCCTACGATTATAAAGGTGAACTGTGTGCTCCGAATTGTAATTTTATGGAGCGTCACAAATTAGTCAATGAAGTTAAGTTTCGTGCTGTTAGTAATCAGTCTAAATGTGCCAAAGAGACCCGTATACGACGACCAATGAACGCGTTCATGGTGTGGGCAAAAATTGAACGCAAAAAATTGGCCGACGAGAATCCCGATTTACATAATGCCGACCTAAGCAAAATGTTGGGTAAGTAAGCAAAGTCCATTAGTAATCTGTTTACAATGGGGCTGATTTTTTTTGTTTTTAATTTGGAAAAGCGAAGGCATAACCTTACCTCTTGCCTTATACACAGTAGATTTATTTTGAGCAGACTTAAATTATTGATTGTTTTTCATATTTTTTCAATACTATACGATTTTATATAACTTACGTCCGCAAATATGGTTTGCGTATTAATTTTTTTATCAAAAAATATAGTTTACATTTTAATTCTCTATTGTCCGCAAATATGATTTATATTATAATCAAAAAGTATAGTTTACATTTTAATTCTCTATTGTCCGCATATATGATTTATATTATAATTCAAATTCATTAAAATGATTCTGCATAAATGTGTGAAGGGCGAAATCGATATGTATATAACGCTAAGTTTGCTTCGTCTATAATAATAGTTCAGATCAAAGTTACCGTAGTCGCATTGATAGCTCAATTTTTCGTTAACTTTCACAATTTGTGGGTGAACGCTTCAACTTGATTAAGAATGTTACGGTCACCTAAGAGCAAGCCTGTAAGCCTCATGGCGAATGCTTAACGTAATATTTCTGAAATCAGTTAAAGATTATTTTTACATGGTTTTTATTTGTTGGCGACAAAAAATGTAAGATATTTCACCAGTAGGTGTAAATTAAAGATGAAAGTTTTCGTGGACCGATCATTGACATTTTGTCACTAAGGCTTCAGATGCTTTTCACCAATGTCTGTCACGAATTTTTAGTTGAAGTTTTTTATACATTAGAACCTAGTTGTGAATGCCTCGACTCAATTTTCTAGTTGGTTCTGCGATCACAAACCCACCAAAATATGTTTAAGAAGTTTTAGTTTCTATTTTCAATTTTTTGCGATTTGGAACGATACGAATACTGTCGGGAGATACGCAGGAAGAAAGAGAAGTAAGTTAGGAAACATGGGGATGGACATGTAAAGGGACAGGTGGACGGGTACATAGGTAATTTATCAGAGGGATAGACCCATGGACAAGCATGAACATCTTTCTAAATCCGTTCAGAATCTTCTTAATAATTTTTTGAAGAGTATTTTTGACTATTGCAAATACGCATCTGTTATGTTCTCATTTTTGAGTAGTGACCGTAACCAATAGTCTTCGGAAATCGTAGGTTTCGTATGAAATGTAAATCAAATTTTCGGACAAAGGCAGTGTAATATTTTCCATAAAATATTGAAAGTCAGTTAAAAGACTTTTTTATATTGTGCAGGTAAAAAATGGCGATCGCTCACACCACAAGATCGTCGTCCGTATGTGGAAGAAGCTGAACGTCTACGAGTGATACACATGACGGAACATCCAAACTATAAATACCGTCCACGACGAAGGAAGCAATCAAAAATGCGCAGTCTCCAAACGAATGGTGTTAAAGAGCAAAATGGTTCACAGAACTCAAGTAAAAATGTTACGTGTAAGCAACAATCATGTGTGACGCCTACACCCTCGCCGTCTCATTCCTCAGCAATAACAAGTAGTGGTTATGCAGCAACAACAACGACAACAACCTCAAATCAAATGCAATTAAATCCTCCCGTTTCGCTTTACGAGCAAACCCTACGTTCTAATTATTCGCCCAATTCATTAGATTGCTATAGCAATTCTGAGATAACAGAGAACGCTAACGATTATCTACATTGCCCGCCCGACCATGCAACCAATGACCAGGCGTTTGGTCTAGAAGAGAATTGCACAGCAACGCAATATAAAAGAAATAGTCAGAAATCGTCACCGAATACCAGCTCAATAAAATCTATAACGAAGTCACGTCATAGCAGCACGACGTCAGTACAAAAAACGGCGAGAGACATTGCTAGTAAGCAAAGCAAATCTCTGATCGAGAGCGATATAAGCAGAAGCCAGCATTCACAAATATCCCTGCAAGCTTATCCGCTCGCGGCTACATCAATGTCAGTGATGGCGGGACGTGGTATGTATGTAACGTGCAGCAATCGTGGCTTACTAGATCATGGCCATTCGGTAAAAGGAACTTTTTATCCTCCCGTTTCCTCTTTGGATGATGATAAACTGCATCCGAATTCCTCGCTAAATGTAAGCGGATCGCCGAGTACTGGTAGTCATGTGATGTCACCAAATATACAACTGGCTTTACATAGCTCATCGTCAAATTCTCATACAATGTCTTCCTATCATCAAAGTAGCCATCAGCCAGAATTAAGTTTCCCTTTAGATGCAAGTGTAGCTACGACGGGTGAATATTTAACAGCTACAAGCGCATATAATTTAAGTCCAAATCTATCATATGAAGAATATTTGCGTTACACTAGTGCTAGCACTTCAACACTAGCCGAAGGAGCCTATACAACGGCGACTGGTAGCAATAATATGCAAACCAATCATGACATAAATAATCATGCGACAGATTCAGTCAAAAGTGCAGCAAAACAAACAAAATATCCTGATAGCAATCACAACTACGATGCCTATGAAGCTTTTAATCCTATGATGGTGTCTACAACCGTGCCCGGTAATAGTTATTATGGCCAATTGCCATATACTTTAGCGGGTCAAACGTTTCCTTTACAGTTAGCTTTACCGCTGCAACAGTCTGCCTTAACAGCGGCTAGTGTTTATGGCCAAGTGTCACATGGTCAAAATCAAAGCTACCTGCACTACAGTCCCTATGCATCTCAGTTATCAAGTCCTCAACAATTAGCTAATGTGTCAGAATCCGTGAACAATTCTCCGCCAAATTCGATATCTATGGCGAATAGCAGCAACAGTTTAATGCAGCAAGCAGCCAACACAACCCCGCTAGCAGCTACTCTCGTGCAATCAACAGCATATCCGAATCATCATCATCATCATCATCATCATCATCAAGTAATTACGACTGGCGCAGCCTCATCGACCAGCGTATTAGGTGTAGGCGAAATGATATTCGATTCAAGACGTGACGAAGAGATCAGCAATATTTTAGCCGGTGTTCGCAAAACTTGCTACAGCAACTAGCATCAATTGTTGTTTACATCTTATTTAACTTACCGCCGTCAAGTTTTTTTATTTCATGCTAATAAATATGTACTTTTTTGCAAATCAATTTTGCGATCAAATATTTATTTACGATAATCTTGATAAAATGTTTATAGAAAAAAAAAGGAAAGGCTTTAAGCGGTTGAACTTGCAAAGTATTTTATTCGTTCCATTTAATATTTTCTAAAGCGTTGTTTTACTCAACATTTTTGGAATTTAAATTTTTACTTTTTTTTTTTTTGCTTTTTTGTTTATGACAATGATTTTTTCAAAAATTAATTTTCATTATTATTTTTAAATTTATTGTATTATAAATTAGAAAATAATAAATTTTGTTTTTTCTTCCTGTTTTCTTACTTATTTTCTGTAAATAGTCGTAATGCTATGTAAAAGAGAAAGCAAATGTTTTTTTTTTTAAATCTGTTTTAAAAAAGTAAATAATAATAAAAAAAAAAATTGAAATTTTTTTTAAGCAAATAAAAGTGTGAATGCGAAAGTTGGAAGTATCATACTGTACCTGCAGTTTTTAATCCCGCTTTGAGATTGATAATGACAATAATGTTTGTAGAGGCTTAACGAATTTCCCATTCATCTTCACATTTGTAATAATTGTTGAAGTCATTAAAAATTTTAATTCTTCAGTTGTTTCGTTTTTATACCCTATACCACTCGTGGTACAGGATATATTAAGATGGTACAGATATATGCAACACCTAGAAGTGTTTAAGATAGGCCCACCTTTTACTATACCGATCGATTCAGAATCACTATCTAAATATATCTAAGACTCTGACGGTCTATCCACGTAAATTTGTGTTCAAGCTACAAAAATTTGGTACACTGGCGTGTTTTGACCCAACGACGAACACTGTTGAAGGTGGTTCGGATAGAACCACGTTTTCGACCACTTCCTATCTAAGATTCCTGTATAAACTCGTTATATAAATAAGCGTACTAATTAAAATGGGATAGGGTACTTAATAGTGCATAATGCTTTTACTTGTCTTTTTGAACTAATGTTATATATGAACGTATGTAAGGGCAAAATGTCCTCAGTTAAAATTATTTGAGATATTTAGTGTACAGTTAGCATATAATAGCCAGATAAATAAATTTGGGGGCGGGTGGAGCCGCAAACATGTATGTACTGACAACCTTTTTATGAGTAATTACGCTGTCAAATAAGTATTAGGTATAGTCAAATGCTTTAGCAAATCGCAAACATTTTTATGACAAAAAATAAAAAGCATTTTAGAAAGTAAGAGAGAAACTCTATTTAAAGCCACACACTTGTGCTCGACTTTTTGGCACTTTCGGAAGCCGTTTGTACAAATTCCCTTAGATTCCCTTTTTAAGCGAAAACTAAAAAATATTCGATCAATGGACTTCGTGTAAGGATTTATGAAGGTCAGTATCTGAAGTTTTAAGAAAATTTCGTCTGAAGCCAAACGAGAAGGGTAAGCGAAAATCAGTGTAACCTAAACAGGTGCGTCATCACGGAAGGGAGAATCAACCTCGCTTCATGGAGGGTACTTGCCAATGCAGTTGCGATTAGTGGAGCTTTTTGCAAAAAAAAGCTTTTTCAGCAAAACTCAAACATCGCTCTTACGAATGAGAAGAATGAGGAGAAAATATTACATCTAGGTGAAGTCTTCTTAACCTTAAATGGTTGACTTATGTTAGTTGAAGTGAAAAAACCATTTATGAATGATACTGCGAAAGCGTGAAAGGAAAAGGAAAGGATTTTACTTAAGATGGATTGATGATTTTTGAACTGGACTACTTGAGATTTTTACCTGCCCGCAAATTAAATAAAATAAAGCCGTTATGATCGATAGTCCGAAAGCATAGAATTAAGAGAAAAGTATCTTACTTAAGATGGATTCAATGTCTTTGAGCCAAATTACCTGGAGGCCAGGGTAGTGTCAACTTAAGCGTTTGAATCGATTGAAGTGAAAAAAACCCTTGTGCATGGTGCTGCGAAACTATAGAATTATGAGAGCCGTATCTTAATTAAGATGGATTGAATGCTTTTGAACTGAACCGAACTACTTGTTTACTTGGAAAGAAGACAACAAGACAACTTAACCTATCAGTAGTAAAAGGATGTGCATAATTGTGATATATACTATACTTAAAATGTATATAACTGTGATATTAACCTGTTACTAAAAGAGAGGTAAGAAAAGTTTCAGATCAAATAGTAGAGTTACTTGAAAAACAAACCTTAACGCATGCGTAACAACGAAAGCTGAAATGTTTTGGCCGGCAAGCAAAAATACAAAAACCATTGAGGAGACTCACTGAAGGTAAGCGAGTTGTTGAGTCAAGAAACTTAAGGTTCAGAAAGTTTTTAAAATTTTATATTCAAGTTACGAAAGAGAAGTCTTTTTTTGTCCTAAAGATATGCAAGAAAAGTGGTCACAGAGTGGAAATGTGAATTTTCCTTTTAATGCCAATCACTCTTCATACGCAGTCTGAGAGGTAAGCGTGAATTAAAAATGCTATTCAACATAAAGCTACTTAAGGAAAATCCAGTTACCCCACCACTACTGTGAATGCTTATATTTCGTTTGACATATGCGAACGCATCCCTTAACCTATGATATAAGAATCCTTTTTCAAAGTCATGCGCATAATGAATTTATAATAAGTTTTTCATCACTCTTACTTTTCTTATTCCCATTAGGGATTTGTGGTGTTTAGTTCGCATATTTTAAAGTTACATAAAAAAAACATAATTTTGTATTAAAGTAAATATCTTTTTATTTTTTTTTTTGTAAATCGAGTTATTTTTCATAAATTTTTTCTTAACTTTGAAAAAAAAAAACAAACCAAAATTGTAGTTAAAAAGTTTCCTGTTGAAAAATATTCGTAAGCAATTTTTCTTTTCATTCTTTGATTACAGCGATTGTGTCGAGTTTTCTCACTTCATAAATCCTTAACCTATCGATTGATATTGAAACGTATTCCTTCTCATCTTCCATGTAATAAATATGGATTCAATGATTGGAAAATCAGACGTAAAGTATAAGTAATGGATTTGAGCAAAGAATGTGTGGAAAATATTTTAATGATATCATCCTTGGGCTGATTTGGAAAATTTAAAATTTTCGAAAAAAGCAAAATGTGGTTTTAAAAGAAGCAAAAAAAAAACAAAAAAAAATACCCGTAAAATCGTTAAAAGGAAAATTTGGCCTGATTTAATAAAATCGATATACAAGAAAAATCCTCATATTTAGCCCGTTTTCGTTGTTGCTCATAACTCATACAACGGTCGATCAAGTGCCACAAAGCAAAACAAAGAATTAAAAAAAAAGAAGAGTAAAAAAAAAAAAAACAGGCTGCCGTCACTTTCACTATCACCGCCACTACTGACACACCACCAACACCACCAACACCTTCATACATAATCATTGCATTGTTGGCGCACATATTATCGCGTATAGTTTTAAAGTTCACGACAGGTCAAAAGTCAATCGTCAATCAATCGAAATCATGGCATCTCTTGTGAATAAATTGAAAACCACGCAATTGCCTCCAATTAAAAACATTATCAATGTAGCGGTACAAACTGCGCGCCAAACAATGCCTGATAAAAAGGATTATGAACAACCGGCCGGGGTAAGCATGGCCCAACAACCACCGCCTGCCAATACACAACCTAATGCAGAGGCTATGTTTAGCGGCACAGATGACAATTACCAACAGACAGGTTTCCGATATGATTGCTTTTTATAATTGTGTCAAGAATTTCAATCTTTTAAAGGGTGCTTCGTCTTCCTCTATTGCAGATAAACCGACTGAATTAAATCCGTTCAGAAATCCAAATGGCTGGATGAATGAAAATGAAACCGGAGATTACAAAGCTGAAGGCTACCAAACAACCTCGTTTGTGGCTAATGAATACGATGGTTCATATCAACAAGATGGCGGCTATCGGTAGGACTTTCTTTTAATTTTTGTTTAAATTTTCATTAAAGTTTGGTTATCTCGCGTTAATCGGTTTGCAGGCAAGGCAGTGTTGCCTCTGAGGGCAGTTCATTCGTACCCGAGGGTGAAGGCGGCGGGGGGTCAAAAATCGATGAAATGCAAGCCGCCTGGAATGTTACGAATGCTATCCAAGGAATGTTTATAGTATCGCTGCCATTTGCTGTCTTACATGGTGGTTACTGGGCTATTGTAGCCATGGTCGGCATTGCCCATATATGCTGTTACACCGGTAAAGTCTTGGTGCAATGTTTATATGAACCCGATCCTGCCACCGGTCAATTGGTGAGAGTACGTGACAGTTACGTGGCCATTGCAAAAGTGTGCTTCGGACCGAAACTGGGCGCTCGGGCAGTTAGTATTGCTCAACTTATAGAACTGCTAATGACATGCATTTTATACGTAGTAGTGTGCGGTGATTTATTAGCTGGCACCTATCCGCAAGGTTCATTTGATTCGCGTTCTTGGATGATGTTTGTCGGAATATTTCTGTTACCCATGGGGTTTCTCAAATCTTTGAAAATGGTCTCAACTTTATCGTTTTGGTGTACCATGTCTCATATTGTCATTAATGTCGTTATATTGGGTTATTGTTTACTACAAATTGCGGAATGGGGCTGGTCTAAGGTGCGTTGGACCATAGACATGGCCAATTTTCCCATTTCTTTAGGCGTAATAGTGTTTTCCTATACGTCTCAAATATTTTTACCTACCTTAGAGGGTAATATGATAGATCGATCGAAATTCAATTGGATGTTGGATTGGTCGCACATAGCTGCGGCTGTTTTCAAAGCTGGTTTCGGCTACATATGCTTTTTAACCTTTCAAAATGATACACAACAAGTGATTACCAATAATCTGCATTCCCAAGGCTTCAAGGGTCTGGTAAATTTCTTTTTAGTTATTAAAGCAATACTAAGTTATCCTTTGCCTTATTATGCTGCTTGCGAACTATTGGAAAGAAATTTTTTTCGTGGTCCTCCAAAAACACGATTTCCTACAATTTGGCATTTGGATGGTGAACTGAAAGTGTGGGGTCTAGGCTTCCGAGTAGGTGTTATAGTGTCCACGATTATGATGGCAATTTTTATACCACATTTCTCAATACTAATGGGTTTCATAGGCAGTTTCACTGGCACTATGCTAAGTTTCATTTGGCCTTGTTATTTCCATTTAAAGATCAAAGGTCATTTAATGGATCAAAAAGAAATCGCTAAAGATTATTTCATTATCGGTTTGGGCGTATTATTCGGCGTTATAGGCATTTACGATTCGGGTACGGCTCTGATAAATGCTTTCGAAATCGGTTTACCGTTTTAAAGTGTGGCATCCGCGGGAGAGTGGCGACGGAAAGCAGACGATGAGGCTCAAGGAACTCTATATCAATTACATAATTATAAAGTATAGAAAAATTTTCATAAAGCATTCGTTCACAAATAGTTATAAGCGTAAAAATGTCTTCCAAAAAAGCAAAAAACACAAAAAACAAAAAAGCAACTGAAATTTGTCTTCCACAATATAATGATAAACAAATTAATTTAATTATCTTTAATAATAAGTAATTAAAAGAATCGAATAATAATGATAATAATAACTCTAAACAAGTCTTCCAAAAAGGTTATGTAATGATATTTATAATATATGTAAAACATTAAATGATTAATATTTTATCTTCAATTATACACAAAAAAAGAAAACAAAAACATAAATTATTTAAATAAATAAAACGAACGATAATAAAATGACTCACGTATGCGACATTCCTAAATCGATGACAAGGTAAAAAATATTCTTTTCTTTATATGGCTTTTATATTCATCATTGAAAGATGGAGGTATCATAGTTGCGTGCTTACGTTTGGTACGTTGAAAATATAGACCAACGTCTCCAATTCCATAATATATTTAGATAGTTATCATCATCGTAAGATTTTATCTTCACTAAATCTGGTTTATTTGCCATGTATCCTATCCACTTGTCCGCCTTATGTTGTATATACTTCAAAGACCTTATAAAACACGTGTATTCTTGATCAGCTTAAGATTCTTAGCCTATGTGGTCAGGTCCGCATTGTTTTCCGCTACACAGGAGATCCATGCTATCAGCGAACTAGCACGAATAGATTATTACGGGCCTACGAACTAAGCTGATATCATGGTTCTATCGAAATAACCATAAAAGTAGTGAAAATCTATGGGTAAAGTGAGTAGTAGTTTGTATTGTGGAATTTATGGTAGATTCGAACTTGAGTGAAGCTCTATGCTGCTTACACCTTTGGGCAATCTCGTGGTGGTTACGATAAAGTCACGGAGACATTAAATATTGAAGTGCTGCAAAAACTTGTTACAACCGTCAGTATATTTCGCCTTCAAAAATGACTTGAATATATATTAAACCTGCTGTAACGATCGAAATATCAATCGTTCCGGAAGTCTAGACGATAGATTCACCAGTAATTACCGTGTGTTTAAACTTAGCGCGTAGTTAAAACTAAACTCAAAGTAAACCATTCGGTACTAAATATTTTATAAAACGTTCCATCCGGCGGACTAACTTTGCATTATATATTTTCTAGGCCCCGTCGCTAATGTAGCCGGATGGAATACAACTGCTTTCAATTTTGTTAAAGTTTTAATTTTGCTACGGCTATGTATGTTGTGTTATAGGTGGAAGAAAGATAGAAGTTTACAAAAATACTTCGCAACACTAAAGCAACTCTACAATAACCTAATTAACCTTATTACAAGTGCGATCTGAAAGGATGGTAAGATCGAGCAAATAGTCCCGTTTGAATACGTCATACCTAAACCACAATCTAGCGACGGGCTTCTTCCATTTGCTTGCTCTGGGATACACTCGACAAAATATTGCTACCTGGGCCTATATGAGAGATCCAAGGGCAAGAGTGCCTGGGTTGTCTAAATAAATTAAACCACCACGATGCTTAGCGTGCCCACTTAATGAGTCGTATATGTTCAGAAGAACCTCCTCCCCTCAATTGCTTCTGGGATTTCGGCGCAAAAACGATTCGCACGGGCGGCGGTGAGCCAAAGTACGATCCTTCGGGAACCGCGGCAACTCAAAAACCCAGACGTTGCATATAATGCGGTGCAACTAGACCTCGAACCTCGAAATGGGTTTTCTGGTCAAACGCTTTAGTCACACGCTTTAAGTCGATCTAGCCGCCAGTTTATAGCGATTGTCACCATTACTAGAAGACGCCATTCACACATTGGTGTGCCTACACTAAGTTTGTCCAAAATGATTCTTCTACTTGGTAAAGCAGGTAGATATACAAATTAACAATCCGCAAAGTATAGTTCGAGAATTTAACTTGAAATAAGTGCTCATAATAATTGAAAGGAAAGATATTACTGAAGAATCATTAGCGAAACATTGTTTTTAAATTATGTGTAAAAATGATGTGTCATTTTAACTGTAGCGTTTAACCTGGTTCAGTCGAAAAATGTTTTCGAATGTAAATGAAAAATTTTTGCACGAAATCGCTGCAAACTAATTAAACTTCTCATTATCTCAGTTGAGCGAGTACGTATGTGTGGAATAGAAAAAAAGAGAAAAGTTTTCAAAATATCAAAAATTTTTTATTTTCATTTTCGAGAGATGTTAGAATTTGTTAAAAGTTATAGTAAATTAAAGGGACGCATAATTTGTAAAGATATTATATGTGATTAGTACGTGTAGTTATGAAAGTAAAACAAAAATAACGAAATAAAAAAGATTTGTAACAAATATATTAAAAAAAAATTTATTGTTTATTGTCGTTATTGGTGTGGTGAGTTGTTGTTTTAAAAAATTTATGCTCATGAGTATCCCTGGTATGTTGGAATGCACCTTGTTTAATTTTATGTACAGCACACGTTGCGACTGGAATTGTTTTATATTCGGTTTTGTAAAGACTCGAATTTGTAGCATTGCTGTCGCCACCCAACATAATCGACGATTGATTGGCACGTTGTCTAGTAACTATACGATCTGCACCTCTGCTATATGAAGCGAAATCTATACCAGATGACATATGGTGGTGGTGATGATGATGATGATGACTGCCATGATCATGATGCTGATGATCATGTGATTGTAAAGATAATGTTTTGCCGCCGTATTCCTTATTTTCGCGATGACTGCTACTATAATTGCGTCGTTCACTGCTATGAGTACTTGATGAAGATTCCATTTCCTTTTGACGATGAATACTGCTATAACTTTGTCGTTCGCTAGGATACCAACTACTGCTAGATGGCTGTTCATTTAAATTTAGTATACTTCTACGTTGTATTTTACCATTGGCCGTAAGACCACCGAATTGATTCGATTCAGTTGATACACTTTTCCGATGCAAAATTGCATTCGTTGCATTAGCTTCCGAAGAGAATTCAGTTGTGCGATGATGGAATTGCTTATTGGATACATTCTCAGCACTTGTTGAGCTTATTTGACTTGAGTTGATTGACTGAGAACTAACGGTCTGAGCAGATCGAGTAACATTTGTGGTACTGCTCGACTTTGATATGGATTCGAGCGTATTCGACTCATTACCTGTTATTAAACTTTTCATATCTGAACTATGAATGTATTTTTGATTAGATTTAAGGGCCAAGTGGGAATGGTTCGTTGAATTAATATGATTTTGACCAGATTTTATTGTTTTCACCCTAGAATCATCTATTATCTTGTAATCATTATTTGTTAGCAAATTCTTCACATCTGAATCGCTAGTATGCCGTTGATTATATTTTTGTGCTAAAACGGCTGATTGATTACTTTTCATCCTGGAGTCAGTTAAGTTAGATTCACTGCTTGAGATTAAACTTTTCATTTCTGAACTGGTAGCATATTTTTGATGGGATTTCTGCACCATACAAGCACGATTCACAGAGGAGATATGTTTTTGATCAACTTTATTTACGCCATTACTAAGATGGATGGCGTTTATAGTTTTACCATCGTCAGCTTCTATGGAGCTACGCGTTTGTCTATCGGTAACGTAATTTTTGTCAGATGTAAGATCAGATTTTATACTGGTGCTCTTAGTTATATCATTAATTATCGCATAGTCATTCTTTGTATCCCGCACATCACTGTGGATAAGTTTCTGATTGAAACATGTCAACTTTTTGTCTATCATATCATTGCTATGTTTCTCAATATCAGTAATTGATTTATTGTTCGAAGTGGTTGTTAAACTCTCATCAATAGTCCGATTAATTTTATTCTTAGCTACGAGATGATTTTGAGTAATTGATATATCTTCTTTGGAAATGTTTTCGAAATTTTTAATATTTTTAGTTGTTGTAGCTTTCTCAACATTTTCGATTACATTCACTTTACCTTGACGTCTTATATATTGCGTTTCAGGCTCTTTCTTCACGTTGCCGCCTATAACTGTAGTGACTTTCTTTGTCGAGACAATGACCATACCGTCTGCTGGTTTCTCCGCATTTAACTCTGCTGTTGGTATTGCTGTTTTTCCCGAGGCATATGTCATTTGACTTGTGGTTTTCAGAATAGATGTATCCGAACCCAAATTAATAGAAGAGCTATTGTGCGTATATTTGCTCTTAGTTTGACGTATATTGGAAATCTGCTCTGTTTTTTGTTTATTAATTTTACTATCACTTTTCCTGATGATATCCATTTTGCCTTCCAGTTTTAAGTTATCAACCGGTCGTTTTGGAGTAACCTTGTCCACTACGTCTCGTGGCGCCACTCGCATGTCTTGTTTTTCGGGCTTATAGAACTCACCTTCTGGTTTCAAATTATCAGTCGGTTTAACCGGTGTTGGTCTTTTAATAAATTGGTATGTATCCTTCTGCACAAAGGTCATTTCCCCCTCTGTACGTAGATTATCTTTGTGCATGACGCGTTCTACCCGTTCCGCTGGCTTGAATTTTTGTTTATCGGGAATGACGAATTCGCCTTCAGTTTTTAAATTATCCACCGGCTTCTTTACTGTCGGTCTATCCCCAGGCTTATATTTCGATTTCTCAGGCTTAACAAACTCGCCTTCGGGTTTCAAATTGTCCACCGGTTTTTTAACAATTGGTCTTTCGCCTGGTGTATAATAGGATTTCTCAGGAGTAAAGAAGTCACCTTCAGTTTTCAGATTATCTTGCGGTTTCTTGGGCTTCGGACGTTCGGCGGGCTTATATCTCGGCTTTTCCGGAGTGAAGAATTCACCTTCGCCGGTTTTCAAATTGTCAATCGGTTTCTTTTGTTTAGGCCGTTCCGCTGGTTTATATCCTGGCTTTTCAGGAGCGTAGAAATCACCTTCTGGTTTTAAATTATCTCCATGTTTCACAGCTGTTGGTCTTTCTCCTGGAGTAAAGCCGGTCTTCTCCGAATGGTAAAAATCGCCTTCGGGCTTCAAATTATCTCCATGTCTTACAGGAGCTGGTCGTTCTCCAGGAGAAAATTTCGGCTTTTCCGGAGCGTAAAATTCCCCTTCGGGTTTTAAATTGTCTTCAGGTTTTTTCTGTGTAGGACGTTCAGCAGGCCTGTAACCAGGTTTCTCTGGAGTGTAAAAATCACCTTCGGGCTTGAGATTGTCTCCATGCCGTATAGGGGTTGGTCGTTCTCCAGGGGCGAATTTCGGCTTTTCTGGGGCGTAAAAGTCGCCTTCGGGTTTTAAATTGTCTTCTGGTTTTTTCTGTATGGGAC